GTTTGAGAGTTTGGAATGTTTTTATGCATTATAAGCCATATGTTACATGTGTTACATACATTACTGTGTATATAATAATTATTTAAGTTATACTGTATACTGGTAATGACATGTAGAAATGTTTTGCTTAAATATATTAGTAACAATGGAACACTTCAATGAGCTGGAGGTAAAAATAGCACAATGTTCAATACTGTTCATCTTGCAGTGCTTTAGACGACCTGCATTACATGCACAATGCCTCAGCTTCACAGCAGCTAATACAGGTGCTGTGAATGTTTTCTTTGATCAAAATGATTATTATTTTTTTTTTAAATCTTGAAATTTCAGGCTGTTTATCATCCTATGTCCTGAAGGTCTCTAAGATGCCTTACATTTCTGTTAGCCTAGGAAAAATCCACAGTCAGTCAATCAGGTAGAAAAATAGGTTGTATTTTCATCTCACAGAAGATCTTCCAGAAATGTTTTCTCCATTAGGAAGCTTTAAAGTGACCTGTTCCTTAACAAGAGAGCAGTAACCATCAAATTCTGCATGTTTAGAAGAGCTTTTGTATTCTTGATCTCCAGCATTGTGACAAAGATGTAGACCTGTCCTGAGGGCCCGCAGTTTGAAAGCCGCTGTATGCTGTACTTCAGTGATGTGGATCAGTTCTAGACCGGACCATCACTTTTAATCACAGTTTCTGGAAATGGCCCAAAATATTCTTATAATATCTACTTACTGTCTGTGATGAGCTTAGAGGTTGGAAATATTTAAATTCAACTGGGAAGAACCTACCTAGCATGTGAGGGTTATTGTTTTGGGATATTTGTGCTGATAAAGAGTGAATGCAGTTTTAGGTATTTTACAAATTTTTGAAGTGTTTGACATGGAAAAATTAGTATTTGCTCTAGATGTTTTACTTTGCAAATGGATAAACTCAGAACATACACATACTCATTTGTGGATCGGTGATCAGCTGATCAGGAGGAACATGTTAAGTGTCTTAGTGTGATCATGTATGTATACCCAGAATCACCCTTAAAATTGTTTACCTCCATCTGAGAGTGCTACAGAACTGTAAATGTAAGGCAGTGTATGGGCCCTTGGCCACTTCTGCAAAACACAGTCTTCCACATAAATAATCTAAAAGACTATTCCCTGAAATGGACATGTCTGCAAATGTAACAGACTAAAGTAAATCATGCTTCTCTGGATCAAGAGTCAATCAAAACCCCTTCTGCTAATGAGAGACAAGAAACCAGAACAGTAGAAAGCATATTGTGAACAGTCATCAATTAATAAAAGAAAAATGTCTGATTTGGGGATTGAGCCAGACGTGCTGTGAATGGGGTTGTCATGCACAAGTGGTGCTGAATAATACTAGTGGGAGAGAAAGAGGAAATTGTAATCATCTTAGTCTCTGGTATATCTTCTAGCAGTGTAATCATAACTAGTTGGCTAAAGACCTGTCTAGCCCTGGAAGAAGCTACCTGCTGAAAGGCTCCTCAGCCATTCAGAAAACAAGGAAAAAGGCAGGTTATACAGTGTTTTGACCACATTCATTTGAGAGCGACTATGATATTATAAAAAATAAATGAAAATCAATGTAACAGAAGTCAGTTGACAGTGAAAGTTTAGGAGCAATTTTCCTTTCTATAAAATGAACCTTGACACTGAAGTATTAGAAGACTTAGATCACAATAGCGTGTCCAGGTTGTCTGCTAAGGAAACTATACTTCCCTTAAGGTAATTAAAGCCACTGGTAGACAAGTTTGACAGTACTGCTAATTACTCAACTGTATTCACTGAAAGAGAGCTTGCAAAATATAATGTGTAGTATATTGGAAATGACAAAGACTCTAAGCTCAAGAGAAAAATAATAAGTTCGGAATTAGAAGTGCAAGCATCTTTGTTTAGTTTCTCCTTGTATTTACGTAGACCTGAAATTCATTCATCAGACAACTGAGGGGAACAAAGAGCTAATGTGACTCATGAACATTGGCTTTTTTGTTGGCTTGATTTTGTTTTTTATTCTGCGTACTGCCTTTTTCCTCAGTGAACCCAGTGAACCAGTATTGTGTGCTTAGAAGTGCCACTCCTCATCATGACCATGAGTCAGGCTGCTAGAATTGGGTTGGCCTTGCTTAATAAAACATCATTTTTATAAATCTTTCTGCCTTTGCCTTTTATCAATAATGAAGTATGCACATCAAATTGCTTTTTTTTTTTTTTTTTTCTCTTTTCAATTACCATAAGCCAAGAGCAGGAAGAACAAATAATGGGATAAAGGATTCACATGTCAGGCTTGAATTTCTTCAAGCATTCGGTAGGCAACTGATTGTGCCCACACACCCATCTGCATTTTTAAACGTTCGTATGTCATGTTCAGTGGAAACAGTATTGTTTATTTCCTAAAGGATGAGCAATTAGGAATGAATATAATTAATACACGTGATACAATTTTGGGTCTTATCACAGTTCCAACAAGCCATCCACATCTATGCTTCAGTAGGTTTTTTGAAACATTTGCAAATGACAGGCAGATGGCCTCTTTGGGTTGTGGTATTAAACAACAAAGATTAATATTACCACTTTTCATGCAGTATGTTCAGTCACATCTTGTCTGCCAGAAGCTGGTTGTTTTCAGTGCCTCTAACTATAAATACTTATGGTCTGCTCTATAAATGAAAAAATAAACAAACAAACAAGCTTAAATCCTTAAGAAATCTCAACCTATAGATACACAGCCTTTGTCATAAGGTAATATGAACCTATCTTCTTTTTCTCTAGTTAGAGAGGTATAGGGCGAGTTTGAGAGGGAGAGTGCCTCGTGTGATAGTGAGAGTTAGAGGGAGATTTAGAGTTAGATTTCTAGGGAGCGTTAGCTGCTATTTTCTCGGATACTTGCTCTGTCTATTTCTCTTTCTTCTTTCTCTTTCTCTTTCTCTTTCTCTTTCTCTTTCTCTTTCTTTTCCCTTTCCCTTTCCCTTTCCCTTTCCCTTTCCCTTTCCCTTTCCCTTTCCCTTTCCCTTTCCCTTTCCCTTTCCCTTTCCCTTTCCCTTTCCCTTTCCCTTTCCCTTTCCCTTCTCTCTTTCCCTTTTCCCTTTTCCCTTCTCTTTCTCTCTCTCTCTTTTTTTTTTTTTTTTTTTTTCCTCTTTTCCTATTCTTTTAATCATTCCTTCCTTCCTTTCTCTCACTGCAAGTGGCAGTTTGGGGATCCAGTTGGGATCATCCCCATCCTTGGAGAGATCAGGTGTTATTTTATGGTTCTGCTACCTATCTACCTTTTTAAGAGACCAGAGTGTCTTCCTGTGATTTTACTGACTGTTTCTCATTGAAGAAGAATAATGCTTATTGTGATACCTTGTCAGCTTAGTGAAATTAACATGTGATCATACGCTAAGGTTTCAACTTGATAGTGTAAGAACTACTTCAGGTCAGCTGGAAGTACTTTTAGAGAAGGCAGCTCCTTCACCTAAAAGCTTGAATTCCCAGCACTTGGAGAAAGCAAATCTACATTGTTAGGCAGGAAATAGGATGGAATTGGATATTTCTAGCTTTGTGACACTTTGGAACATACCTGGCTAACAATGTCAATGGTAGGGTGTAAGCTAATACCTTAATTTTACTTTACCTTGACTTCCCAAAGTGGAAGAGCTCCAGATGATTCCCATTTAGAAACAGGAATTTCTACAGAATAAAGCCATCAGTGGAAAATGTGGAGTAGATCTATTGAAAAATCTACTTATAGTGGCATATACTAATCTCTGTTAATCACTGATTAGAAAACTAGTTGGAAATGTCATCTTTTCTCCCACTTCTGTATAACCCTATGCACATTCTTAGAACTTAATATAGAGTAAATGACTGCAATTTCATCTCCTCTGCACCCCTGAGGAAAAACTTGCTGGCTTAATTATTTTTATACAACCATTGTCCCAGTTTTTATCCACTTCATTTCATTTTTCTGTTTTAAATGACAACAAGGAAATAATTCTTATGTCTTATTACTTTGAAGGCATTGCATCTCTGTCATTTAGTAAACACCTGCCACACTAAACAGTCCCATTAGAGACCATAAAAGTATCCAAGAAGCTGTCTCATGCTTTATTCTGTAGCTTTTCCCTTCCATATATATTCTTGCTTGTGCTGATTGGTGGGTTCATTGTGATACTATAAATACATCTTTCAGTTCCTATACAGTTAGTTGGAAGACTTCCTGGAGCAATATTCGATACTCAAATCTTCATGAATAAGAAGCTGAATTGGCCGTATCTGTGAAAACTGCGTGTTGGAAAGTTCAAGCCATTTACATTGAGACATTTTATTTACTTTGACATTTTATCATGGATTATTTTTGCTGAGGACTTCATTAAATGAGCTTGACTGGATAATATGAAGATTCTTGGCACCACATTTTCTTAGTTCTCAAGATATGACAACTGGGATTAAACTCAAAGTAAATTAAAAAAAGACAATTGCAGTATTATCAGTGTTATTAAATATAGGATACTGTTTATGATACTGTGCCAAATATTGTTACTTTGTTCAGTTCTTTTTCTGAACTGTAATAGCAGGATCTGAAAGAAATGGGGAGCTTGTGTTTTAAGAATATGGAGAATCTAGGCTGTGTCTTGTACACTCCCCAAATGCTGTTCCTAGCATTAAGTCCACTGATATTATTGAGCCTATGTAATGGCAAAACAGCCATGCTGGCACTCCTCCTTTCAGTCATTTGCATGTTATTGAACTTCTGAAGTGAGATGGTGCTTAAGGTGAGAGAGGGAACCACAGTCCCTCTGGATGAATAAGTGGATGAGTAAGAAGAAAATGGCCAAATATCTGAGAAATGGAAAATTAGATTTGAAGGATGTAACTACTTCACTTTTTATTTAGGGGATTTACATGTTGCAGAGCCTTTGTTATTGACATTGTGGCTCAGAATCTCAAAATATAATCATTAATCTTAACATTTAATCATAACACCCTGAAATAAAAAATAAAAAATTGCAAAAACTTCAAATGCATCATCATGTTGTTTTATTGATAATTTCTTTGACTATTAAGAATACCTTTATTTTAAAACTGAATGTATCTTACATCATCTTTCAGATCTTGTTGGATCTCATATGCTCATTGACTCAGCAAATATCTGTCACACACATGTACTTGATATATTAAAAGCTTATTCAGTTTAGACATTGCAATCCCTAGTTTAGAGACATCACTCTCAGAGTATTTTGGAGTATATATAGGTCCTGTAGTTGTAAGTTTCTGTCCTTTTTAATCAGAAGTCTTGGAAAAGTCTCTTATGTCTAAACTGTTTACACTTGTACTAATGTATAAAAAATTAATCTTTCTTCTATTAAAATAAACATGACATAAACACAGCTAAGTACACACCCGGGAAAACAACTTTGAATGAAAGAAGGTAAATCATTCCGTGGTTAAAAGCAAATATTTCACTGTTGTTGATTTTAAACAGTTGTCTTGTTCTCTCTCTCTCTCTCTCTCTCTCTTAAATTAGAAATTAGTTCTTCCCAAAGGTATATGGTTTCATTACATCTGCCTGAATAGCCTGACTAATTTATTTTCATGCCATATTTAGTAACTTATGTTGCTAAAAATAATTACAATAAAGTTATAACAACTATGCTATGTTTTGGCAGTCTTAAAATCACACATATATAGAGAGAATCAAATGGAATGGAATGGAATGGAATGGAATGGAATGGAATGGAATGGAATGGAATATGTCAGTTCTAAGGGACCTATGAAGACCGTTGAGCTGGACTGCCTGATCACTTCAAGGCTAACCAAAAGTTAAAACATATTACTGAGGGCATTGTCCAAATGCCTCTTGAACACTGGCAAGCTTGGGGCATCAACTACCCCTCTAGCAAACCCGTTCTAGTGTTTGACCACCCTCACAGTAAATAAATTTTTCCTCATACCCAGTATGAACCTCCCTGGATTCAGCTTTGTGCTGTTCCTGTGCATCTTGCCACTAGTTCCTTGGGAGAAGACTGGCACCTCCCTCTTCAGGAAGCTGTAGGGAGCAATGAAGTTGCCTCTGAGCCTCCTTTTCTCCAAACCAAATGATTCAAGTGTCCTCAGCCTCTCCTCATAGGACATGCCTTCCAGCTCTTTTACCAGTTTTGTTGCCCTCCTCTGGATGCTTTCAAGTACCTTAATGTCTTTTATTATTGTGGAGCAGAGACCTTTACACAATATTCAACGTGAGGCCAGAGCAAAGCAGGAGAATCACCTCTTTTGACCATCTGGATACACTGTGTTTAATGCACCCCAAAATATGTTTTGCCCTCTTGGCTGCCAGGGCACACTGCTGGCTCATGCTGAGCCTGCTACCAACCAGTGCCCCCAGGTCCTTTTCTTCAGTGCTGCTCTCCAGCCACTCGTCTCCCAGTCTGTACCTGTGTCTAGACTCTTTCCATCCCAGGTGAAGAACCAGGCATTTTCTTTTGTTGAATTTCATGCCGTTGCTCATTGTTCAATGCTACAATCTATCTTGACAACTCTTCAGGCCTCTTGACTCTCCAGGAAGTCAACAACACCTCCCAGTTCAGTGTCATCAGTGAACTTGCATTCAACTCCAGAATCATTGTTAAAAATGTTGAACAGAACTGGCCCTAGAACTGATCCCTGCTAGTGACTGGCCACCAGCCATATGTATATATATATATAATGCTGTGTATAGTATTTTTAATTCTTTAATGGAGTTCAGTGTTCTTATTGTGCACCAGGTGTGCACCATTGTGCACTGTGTGTCTGATTCAATGTCCACTGTGCATTTCCTTTAGTGAGATTTGGTTTATGAACTATTGTGAAATGTTTTACATTTTCACAACTTACTCCTGTATTGGGGCTTTATATACATGGCTAAAAATGCTTGCAATCATAACACAACTGAGAGTGCAGATAAATTAAAGTCTCATATTGAAGGAACAGTATATTAAGCGGGACATGCTTACTAAACGTTGCATATGTGAAAGCAAAGCAAAGTCTCATAAAGCTTCAGATTCCTCTGTGTTGCTCATCTTTAGATCTGCAGATGTTTGGTTACTTGATTATGGATTATTGCAGTAGTTAGAATAATTCTTGGACAAATAGGTTTTCCTTTTTTTTTTTTTTTTTAATTTCCTTTAAAAAGAAAAAAGAAAGAACTGAAAGGAAGAATATTTCCTCCCTTCCCCCCCCTACCCCCCTCCCCCCCCCCCCAGAATTTAGGGGTAGTTTCTTTAGCAAAATTGTTCTCTGAATAGCAGTGTTTAAAAAAACACTGCGATAAAATACAGTGTGAAGCCTATTCAGAGAAGGGTGTGTATTTCTGCATCAAGGACGTTGAAAGTTCCTGTCTATATTTTCTGCTTTACTCCCCCTTTTCTGTTCTGTGTAGCATACCATGTAATTTCCAGCCCATTTATATCTATAATCAGAAAGTGCATAACATAGTCTACCCTTGAGTGATTGTGTGGAAGAATGTATCAATGTTAAATAGCAATGTGACTAATTTTATTTTGAATTCTTATAAAAAACTAAATTAGATTATGAAGTACAGTCTAAAAATAGTTTATAAATATGATAAGAACTTAAAAATAAGAAATGGAAGACAATTTGAAGACTTGTGTCTCATAATATTCAGGTCAATGTTAATGCTAAAAAGGGCTATTGTACTTTTTCTGTTTAGAGTGTCCCATAGTGAGAAACTTTGGTGCGCTTCTTCTTTAGATGGCCTGGTTATTACCTCTCAGATGCAATAAAATTAAATTAAGGAATTGTCTACATGAGTTTTGTACACAATGTAAAATACGTGGTAGTAAAATGTGCTTTAAAATGCACGCTTAACTCACTTGCAAGCAAATCAGGCTTATTGCAATGACACCTCTCCTTCAGCAGCTCCTTGACTGTGCTCTGTGGGCCACCAGTCTTCTTCAGAATGTTCTGTGGCTCTCTCTGGAGAGCTCATGGGATCGTGCAGTGCTCATTCACTTTGTTTCCATTCCTTTAATTGCATGAAAAGAAGTTAAAAACCTGTCAGTACTTTCCCAGTGCAGTCTAGTTTCACTATAACAAACCCAAGGGAGTCCTGGAGAATTGTTCATCCTAACAGGGTTGTTTTGCAATTTGCTGCACTGAAATTGTGAAGAAACATCCAATTTCTAATACCCAGTAATCAGTTGTGCTTTTATGGCAATTACTTCATGCTGTTTAATATTTAAATGATGCTTTAAGAAGAAAATAATGAGGAAATTAAAAAGGGAAAAACAAAATGCACATTCAAAGGCTAAATCCTGCATGCTGTGATAAAGACAAAGAAAATAGAGCTTATATGTAGATCAGCCTTCTGTAAGCACACACTCCAGTAGGCCTGATGACCAAGGAGAACATATCTTTTTTCTGTTGAAATTATTGAAATTAGGGGGAAGTCATGACTTACTTTTAATGAAGTTAGTCCATGCTTACTTTCTTTGTAAACATAGTCTGTAGCTGTGAAAGGTATGGAACTTGTTTTCTGTTAAAAGAACTGATGAATGATGAATGCAATTGCCATGATCTGTAGAGAAGAGGTCCCACAGTCAATGTTTTCTAATGTCACCTGTGTTGTAAAGCTTATGACTCTCTGTTCTACTTCTCATTGCAACATCATATAGTATGTACTAGCAGGGAAAATTCATGGCCCCCATTTAAAGTCAGCCAGACAACATTTATTCCAGAGTTCTGTTTAGTTGCTCTTAATCTCAATAGGCTGCTGTAATTGGTTTATTCAGGCAAAACCAACAAGCATCACTCTTTTTTTTTTTTTTTTTCTTTTTTTTTTTTAGACTGTCTAGTGATTGTTGCTCCACTTTAATGTAATTTTAGCTAAATTTAATTTCAGACCATCTCAGCTGAATTACTAAATAATAACATTAAAACCAAAACAAGCCTGAAAAAACAGATACACACTCAGATCTTGTTGTGATTGCAATTCAGGAAAGCTAAAGCCAGACATAAAAGAACTTGAATTTATTTGAAACAAGGTATATTTTTTGAATAAACTAGATGTAGGTATTACATTCTCAGTATTAATATTGGATGTATGCAGACAGGCATCTGCTTTCATTTGATTCAATCACTTTAAAAACATCTTTAAGCTTTAGCAACTTTATATAAATTCATTATTTTTAATGTCTTTCTTAATATCAGCATTTATTATCAAATTATCTGTTAATTAAAAAGGAATGACATTGTCCTAGTATCTGGCATATTCTAGTTGAGTTACTCCTTCATGTATACCTGTAGATATTTATAGTTTCCATTTGCTAGTTTCAGATTTCATGGTTTGTTCAGTACTCTAGCCATGACCCACTGAATTCTCTGGTAGGGAACCTAGTAGCATCTTGATAGACAAAGAAAATAAAACAGTTATTTACCCTGAGCTTTTATTTAGCTATGGTGTCACTGGCCATCCCTCTTTCTTTGGGCACAAAAGAGCTGGAGAACTGGCTTAACACTGAGATATACATGTAATGTGAAGATGCATATGGCCCTGCTGTTGGGGACCGATGCTTCTGGAAATTACAAGGTGAGGAAGCAGCAGATCTCCTCCTGCTGTCCAGCACACGAGGTGCTCCTGTGGGGGTGAATCAGTGGGAACATCCTCGTGAGGTCACGGCAAACTGAAACAAGTCTATGCCAGTCAACAGTAGCTCTACCTTTTGCTAGGACCACAGTAGTGTTTGCTCAGGAGAAAGAACTAGTTAAATAAAAGTTATATGTGTAAAAATGGCAAAAGTACTGTCCTTCCTGAGTCCATTCTAATTGTTTGCTGAGCTCTTGTTAGAAGCTGTTGGTCCAGCTGTAGCCTATTCTCTTTAGACATTGTTTATATCCTAAATTTTAGATATATAGTGCCTCTCTTAGACCCTTGAAGCCCATGATCAGCATAATAGGGCAAGTCCTATGCAAATTTCTGTTTTGTTTAGATTTAAATATTAGCACATAGCAGACAATTAGCAGTGATGTCACTGGTCTGCCTATGCAGAGGGTAAGAAGAATTGATGGTAATGCTAATGCTGACTGAAACTGTTTAAAGCCCTCTCTGGTTCCACATCTGCTGCTCTTTTGGTTTGGAGAATTTTTGCTAACATAACAACTAGTTGAGCAATGGTTTGGTGTTTACAGTTAAAACCATAGCTGCCAGGTATTTGTAGTAAATCAGTGACTGGCTCTATTCAGATACCTGCGTTATCATACCTTCTGTAAAACCAGAAAAAGTAACAGTATTGGACAAAAAAAGGCCTTTATGACTTACCATGTTGGGTCATGAGTGCAATATGTGCAGTTTGAGTATCACTTCTGACCACTCTTTAGTACTACAGTTCCTGTTCTGCTTGTTTCTGCATGAAAATAATAAATTTGCACTACCCTTATTGCTTGCAGATAGGAATACATATCAAGAAAGATTGCAGCAAATGCTGTTTTAGATCTCATGAAGTGCCATGTGATAAATCTAAAGGTGATCATCTGTGGCAGTAAAGAATATATAAACTGAAATAAACAGAAATAAACTGATCTAGTTAGCTGCCACTGTCATAGACATACAACATTCATGACTTTTAGTTTTCACATTTATTTTGCTATTTGTTATACTGTACTGATATTTGTGATGTTTTCTTGTTCCAGATCATGCAAAAGAACTTTAAACAGTGCAGGTATGATCATGTAACTTTCTAAAACTCACTGGTGGTTGATAGAACTGTTCCAGTGTTGCCTCAGGTGCTGCTCAGAGAGAGGTTACCTGCATGCTGGAGCACTTCTGTAACAGAAATGGGACAGTGGTTATTTGTTTGCAAATACAAATTTCAGCATAATGACTTGAAATGTGCCTTGGTTATTTAATCATTGATAATACTAATAGCATCCAAATAAAGCAATATTTTACATCTGTTACATATTTAAAGTTTAGTCATTCTCTGACAGCTGAAATTATTTAATAAACAATTTTTTTTTTTTTCTGAAGATTTTTTTTTTTTTCCTTGTACATCAGTTTTCATACTAACACACTATTTCTTTATGGCTTTGAAAACAAGTACTTATTTACAGAGACAGAAACTTGTCAAATATATAATACATATGCTACTTTAGCTAAAACATCTGTAATGTAAGTTGTTCTAAGTCATTCCGCTTCATCATGTGTTATTTTATACATCGTTGTACTCTGCAGTTGTCACAGAAATTTTGCAAACTTTTCTGAAGTAATAAGATAATACCCAGCTATTGTTTTCCAGTATTTTTTTTCCCCATGAACGTAGGAAAAAAAATTATATATATATCTAATTCCCATTTAAAATGTGTAAATGTAACAATGTTTACCATTGATACAGTGAAATCTAGGATAGTCTTGCAACTTAGATTTTAGTTACCTAATGTCCCTTTAGACATGCTGCTTTCTAAGAAGAAATTAAATAAGATTTTGTAGTATAATTACTTTTTCTATGTCTTGAAAATCATTGATCCTGCTTCCCTTTAAATCTCTAAAAATGCCAATGATTTAAAAAGCAGACTCATGTCTCAGGTTTATATATATCACTTATCACATTTAGCCAACTAGGGTTCAAGATGAGAAAGATTTGATATCTCTGATCAAATGTAGGCACCTGTTTATGGGCAGGAGGAATAATTTGTCAGGTTCTGCTGGCTGATCTCTTCATGAACACAATGGATAAGAACTAGCTCTTATGAAGACATAAATTTTAGACAGCTAAAATAACGTAAGATTAGTCTTACCTGCCATTCTTCACCCTCACCTCAGTTCCAGCAGGCTGAGAATTAAAATCTCTTTGTGTAATGATCATCATTCAACATTCAGCCATCCACCAAGGACTGCACATTTTACTAGAGTCATTGCAGTATAAACAACTCATGTTTCAGAGGACTAAGATACTGCCTTAAAAATGCAGTTTCGTAAGAGTGCACAGTTCAAAATTGTTGTTTATTTATTTTTTTTCCACAGTTCATCATGCTGGATTTCAAAACATCCAGCTGTATTTGTCTGGGAAGGGTCTGTTACTGACTGTAAGGAGACACTTTGAAGATGCTTGTTTAAAATAAATATTTATGTGAGTTTATAACAGTTGTGAAGATAGTTAAACAATATAATTCTCAATATGATTTAGACATACAATATACTTGGAAGGAAGAAATAACTGATTTTGCTCTAAAGTTAGAACTATGCTGTCAGCTGGTTAGTCTCTGGGAATGTCAGAAACTAAAGCAGCCCAAAACAAAAGAATGAAGTTGTTAGCAATCTTGTCTCATGAGCTCTCTCTCTGTATCTTTCTCTGTCTCTCTGTCTCTCCAAACATAAACCTAGGGTAAGGATTGCTGGAGCTGCTGCTTCTGCTGAGAGACCAGTCTTTTAATGATATATGTGGAAGAACAGTAGTATTGTGTCGATACTGCCATGTAAAAGCCTTTTTATTTGTTGGGGGTTATACATTGTAAACAGGTCTTTCACTGTGACAATGGAATATTTCTTCTAAGCTAAAAAAAAAAAGTGTTCTGTAGTGATTAGGCCAAGTACTTCAAATCTCATTGTGTGGTACCTTCTTCTGTGTCTTTCTAAGAAGATTACTGATTTAGAAGATTTTCAGCAGAATTTGTTGCTAACTTCAACACAGTCACAGGTGTCTGTGTCACCTTGGCTGAGAGGGGAGCTGTACATGAGCTAATCCCTGGTAATTGACTACATGCACTCCAAAAGCACTGTAAACATGCTATGATAATACTGTGATTGCACTATCACACCACAGTGGAGGTGGCTTCAATGACTGTTTCACTTCTTAAGAAGTACACACTAGAGAAAAGTGAAGGGCAGTTTGTTCAGCAGCCAGTTTATAGGGTTTGCCTGTAAATTTAGCCTAAAATAGCAGAGCCAGCTTAAGTCCTCTGGCTTTTAAAGCCAGTCAGTTATCTACCAGCTTATCAAATAGATTCCTAAATCACACCATGCTGTTTGAAAAATAATCATAAGAAAACTAGATTGAGAAGGAATAACTGGAAATGTGACAACATCAGTGTGTCTCAGTTGATATAGTACCTGGTGGCAGTGAAGTGAAAAGATAAGAAGAAAAGCAAGCAAAAGAAAACTGAAATGTTATTCCAGACTTTGAAGAGGTTAAGGTTCACAAGGAATGATGAACTGAAATCCAACTGGAAAATTTTATATGATAAACTGGCAGAAATTATGTAATTTTGAAAGCTGCTTTGCTATTGTGTGACTGCAGTATGACTTGCATATGAATGTTCTTTCTTGGTAGCAGCATGACAAATTCATAGACCATAAGGAGCAGAGACTGGGCATGTGTGCTATTATGCAACCTGAAAGTATAAAAGGTAGAAATAAAATATTTATGTTACCTAATGATAACATACTCTTTAGCCTAGGCTTTCTAAATAGGCACAATTAGATCTCAACAACTCGCAGATCAGTATGGCAATGGTTAACATATCATTGGCAGCAATGAGAAAGGAAAAGGTGATGGTTCCTAATATTGTGATTAACTTGCTGATCATCATATTTTGCTGTCTCTTTTCCTTTCCTTAGGCAATTTCTTTGAAGAGTCATGTACTAGAAGAAGAGGGGTTAATATGAAAATCAGAGAGAGCTGAGGCTGTATCAAGAAGCCAGTGCAGGTTGAGTGGATTTTTGCACAGGGGAAGCATCTGTAGACAAGATGAAACAACCACTGTATAAGCAAAGACCTGAAAGGTATCACTCTTTCTAATTATCATAAGTATGACAGCCACCAAAATCATACATCATAAGAATGACTACTGCCCTTGAGAATTTAAGACTTAATGCTCATCAGGATATTTATGGCCTCATTGAGTAAAAAGCCATCTTACTTTGTAAGAGCAACACTGAGCTCAGGCTGACATAAAGTTTGATGAAAAGTCAGGATGTGGTTTTGTGGACTTGGTGCCGCATGGACATGGTCAGAGCACTGGAAGGGGAAGCTTAACACCATGATTTTGGAATCTGAGGAACACAATTACAAGGCTGAAAACCAGCAATGGTTAACACATCATTGACAGCAATGAGAATGGAAAAGGTGATGGTACCTAATATTATGATTAACTTGCTGATCTTATAGTACCTATTATAGTATCTGAAACCTATAGTATCTATTCCTCTTTTTCAGTCCTAGTTAATCTCTTCCTTTTAACTACAAGACTGCAGTCTATCAAATAGAAAGCAAGTAAAGAGAGATTCTCTAAACATGAGTTAAATTAAAACAAATTGTTTTGGGTTTAGTAGCAAAGCAATTCCCATCCACTGCAAAGGTGAATTTAAGAAGCATAAGTCAGTTAAAATCAGCACCTTCTGAAAAGATTTATTATTCTCATGTACTTTCAGAGTTTTGTAAGGAATAGCAGTCCATTATATCAACGGAGCAATCCTGTAATCCTTGTGAAGAAGCAATTAATCTCCAGTGATGTAAGGTATGTCTGCAAGCCTGATAAGGTGTTTCTGCAAGTTAGTTCCTGCTGAAAGGCCCTGTGATTCTGTTAAATTGTTATTCATTCCAAAGCAACCCATCTGAAGAGGCAACGTGTGCTAATGTGGGTTTGCCACTTTATGGCTATGACCACACAGCTGCTTTTGATCTGCTTGGAATATGATCAAACCTGCTTGCTCTATATTATATGGGTGCATCTATCATGAAACATACCTTTTGCAAAGTGCATATAAAAGCACTTCAGTGTAAATTAGGCCAAACGCATTCTTTGAGTAGGTCTGAAGTCCATTGAGGTTATTCCATTGAACAACTAAGTTAAATTTAGTTTTCTGTCTTTTTAGCAACTCAGCAGAACTCCGTGCAAGCAAATGACATCATCCAAGACTCTTAGCTAAACCAAGGATAATAGCATAGCTGTTCATATCATTGCAAATGCTAATTGTATTTTTGTGCACAATAATTGGAGTGAAACATCAAAAAAAAACAAAAACAAAAACAAAAACAAAACAAAACAAAAAACTGTTAGGGCTGTGTGTTCTTGCATTGGGGTTGTTATTTCAGTGGGTCTGGAGAGGATGGTGAAAACAGTGAAGCAGGCTTTATAAACCCTGTAGGAGCAACACTAGTGCTGCCACTGAGCTTTCTATTTTAGCACTGTTGCAACTGGTTTCTAAGTGGAAGAAATGTAAGAGGCACAATAAATATTAGAGTGGTAGGAAAGCAAAAGCAAGCAAAGACTAAAACTTGTGCAGCTGTAGGCCTGCCTCTATACTCTAGGGGGGCAAAGGGTTGGTTCAAACATATCGCGGCTGTGCTTTATGCAGGAAAAGAAGACTTGCTTTCCCAAAATGGTGAAAGCTTATAGTGTAAACACAGCCCATGGTGTGTGTATATCCTTATGAAGCTTTCTTTACAGTGCAGTGCCAGAACTTACTTCCTTGATAAGCTACAGAATGTAGTACAGATGCAGGCCTGTAGCTGAGGTCGCAAATTAGAGTTAATTTGGATATCTCTGCACTGGGTTGGTTTGGTGACATTTGTGTTAGTAAATAAAAGAGGACAAGGCGTGCTCTCTGGTCATGTGGACAAATGTCCATGGCATAACTGATGTCCATATGATAAATTGTTTTTGCCTTGCCCTTTCTGCCTGTGAGGCGTAGTCCCCATCTCATGTAAAACCCTCAAGCTGTGTGTCCAGTTCTATGCGCAGGAGCACTGCTGAGCCCTGGCTGGTTTCTTGGTATAGCCTTAGTGGCCGACTTCCTTTTTTATCCTATAAACTGAGTTAAAAGGAACCAAGGTAAAGCTGAAATGTAAATACTAATGTATTTACATTTAATGTAAATGTAATGTAATTAAATGTAAATCTGCCTAGATACCTGTCTATACTGCTGCTGGTGTAGTGGTGGCTCTGTATAGCTGAATACCGGAGAACTGCCTACTGAAGACATTAGCTCATTTGGCTTCACGAACCTCTTCATGACCTTCAAGCCAAACATGTGGTTAAGTGTTTGGCTGGAAAGAGGCCTCTTTTATACTGATAAGAAATACTGTTTTCAGGGCAATTGGACACTCATTCTCTCATCTCTCCTTTAACCTTTCTTTTCTGCTGTTGCCTATAATAGATGCACAGTCTCACTTCACTTTCCTACCTTATTACCACAGTTGACATCTCCATCTTACCTCTCTCAATATAGAGATCAACATTGATCTCTCAACATCTTTCTTTATCTTTTTTTTTTTTTTTCTTTTTTTTTAATTTGAGCCTTTCCTATACATTCAAGTCCACTCTACATCAGATTTTTTCCTCAGACTGGCCCGTGAAAGACTTGCCATATCCATCCTAGATTTCTCTAGTTACTTTTCACAGTTGTATGAAGTATTTCATGATAATGGCTGTTCATTGTATAGACTGTTTCTTCATACTAAATCCAGAAAGTTAAAGAGGTTGTTGTAGAAGAAATAGAAAGAATAGAAATAGATGAAATCCTATCTCCAATCAGTCCTTTTTGAGGTACCTAAAAAGAGTGAATATTAGGAAATTTTTAGTTTTATTTATTTATTGTTAGTTAACTGTCACATACCAGAACTTAGAGACTATAGAATCAGGAAACTTCATTTATACTGCGGTACATGGTTGAGCTGATCCAAAGAGCCACACTTTGTCAGAGTTTTTTTTATTTTGTTTTGTTTTGTTTTGTTTTGTTTGTTTTCTGATAATTTATAATTTGGGCTATTCTACTATTTCCCACACACCTGGATGATGTCTGAGTAAACATGCACTTAAAGAAATGCATTTCTGATACTACTGTCTCTAAACAGATCACCTGTAGAATTTCTTCAAATTTGTATATACTGAAAACATAGATATGTTGCACAAGCTTGAGAATGCACCTTCCAAATTATTCTAAAGATGGGTAGAAAAAAACCTGGTGGTATTCAAGAAAACACAAGACTTCACCATATACAATTTAATACTGTATTAAACACTGAACTGAAAGGAATTTAATGATTGGAAGTAGAAAATGTCTAGTCTCTTAATCCTATCTGTTAAACAGAAATGTTATTAAATGACACTGTAGTTACCTAAAGGATTTAATATCTTTCTTAGATGGCAATCAGACAATTTAAGCTAATTAAAAAACAAAAATGTACTGCTTTTCCTATTTCGAAAAACATCTATAGAATGTAATGGGAGAAAGACAAGACCTTATTTAGGTTGTAAAATGCAATGAATGATTTCTGACATGTAGAAGATGTTGTGCTTTCCAGTAAAAGAAGAAGTATGGCTAATCTTTCACTATTTAATGAATTGATTTATTTCTTTAAATTGTTAGAAAGTGCATGGGCATCATTTCATTACTCTGCTGTTTAAATGAAACATCTAGATCCTTAGGGCAGGCTCTGTCTTCCAGTGATATATACATATAAAGGTTGGTCCTCTGGACTTGGACTGCAATTTCTAGGCACTGCCATGCTGCAAATTATAAACATCTATGCGAAAATGCTTTTTATGCTGTTTGGCTCTGAATCAAGAATGAATAAGTCACTTCTAAAGATTCTGGCAAATAAATTGGATCTCCAGTCGCCTCTTGTACACATGTTCAGCTTCCAGTAATCTGCTAATTACTCTTAAAATTAGCACTGCCTGCAGCCTGCAGGAAAATATGCAGTAAATCTTCAGTCACGTGAACTTTTGAACCCAGACTTTTAATAAATATAATGAGATGGTCACTTAATAAAGACTTTAATCAAAATTTTAGAGTGCTTCATTCTGCACTAAAATGCAGAGAGGATTTACAAATAAGGAAACCAAATTGTATATAATGAATTGGGAATAAAATATGGCTGATTATTCCAGCTTCAAATGGCTGGAATAGAGCTGTGAGAGAACATCCCTTACCAAAAATCCTTAAATCCCCTTATATTCTTCCTTGAAAAAGTTGAACTTCTATTTCTGAAAAAACTCTTTGAAGTCTATTAGGCGACTCCATCTTATTCCAAAAATTAACTCCAAGAAAACTGCTGACAAGACATACAATCACTCTCTTTTTAGAAAGAATCAAATGTGCATTTTCAAGAGGGAAAAATACAGAGGAGCTTTTTCTTTCATAAGCTGGGGGAAATGGGAAGACTGCAAAGAAGCTTTTATGATGGTGTGGAGTACAGCATTGGGGTGAAGTGGCTGAAAAGGATATAAGAAATTAGTGCTGTATGGACTGCCATGCCACAATCTCTGATTTTTTTCTTGTGGTACCCTACTGGGATGATCCAGTTTTGAGAAGCTTTGACATGACACTTCTGTTTGTATTCACATTCTTGTTGGGGTACACCTGCATTATGCCCTGCACCACCATCCCCTTCCCTTTTCCCTCATTCAATGTTCCTCCACAGTCTGGATCTACAGGACTACACTGTGGGGAAAGAGGCATCTGGTGCTGAAGTTCTGCTGATATGGGTCTAAACCCAGCCCAGACCTTTTGTACATGGTAGTAGAAAATCAGGCTGATTCCATGGGCACTCACACTCTCAACATTTTAGCCTTGTGTTTATTTAGTGTTCAGTATTTTAAAAGAAAAAACAAACAAACAAACAAACAAACAAACAAAACAACAAAAAAAAAAACACCAGGAAGCATTTTAAATATCGGGAATTCAAAATCTTGTGCATGGTATCTACCATGTTTGGATTTTGAGCCTGTTTCAGCTGGTAGGCATGATTCCAATCAAAACAATTTGTGAGTAGAATCAACCTTTGGCAAGGTTTCAACTATTTGAAGATTTAGAGAGCTGGAACTCTATTTTTACAGCTGTTTCCATATGAATTTATGGATTTGAAGTAAACCCCTTTTTGGTGTATAAGCACTGTTCAAAATGGCATCTTTTGGATCCCAGTTCAGAGTTTCATCTAGTCTTGAGCAATGCATCTTTTTCAACTTTGTGCAATTAGTATGTATAATTTTACAGAAGCAGCAGTGTAAAATGTAAACTGTGTCTGTGTGACCATGGCAGTAATCATTTGATCAACACTGGTCTTTTGAAAACTTTCAAGACTTTTTCTCAAGCTATGAATGCCTAAAGGATTCCTACTTTTCCTTTTCTAAAATACAGTTTAAAAATTATTATGTTGGATTTTTTCCTCTATTCAGCCACATATTAGAATTATTTTTCATCAGTTCTACTACTGTTCACTTTAGAATTAAACCTGACATTACAAACACTGAATGTACTTTGTTAGTAGAAGTCGACCTTTTAAGCTTTCATTTTTCAAAGTGTCTGCTTGTCAAAAAACAGAAAGAAGGTGGGGGGATTGGGGGTGGGGACGGATCACATATTGTATAGTAACAAACAAAAAAGCAACACAAAAGATTTTTCTTTTGAAACCTGGCATGTACTCCAGAATAGTTCTTGCCATGGGAACATTTAATTAATCTCAGCAGCTTCCACTTTTCCCAGTTGGGTACTGTCCTGTCACTTCTCCTGGTAATTGCAAATACAAAGCTGTTTTACATACAATAATGGGTGAGTGAGTTGGTGTTCCTGCTCATTTTGCTAAGCTGCAGAAGCATATTCTCAAGTATATTGCACATTACTGGAGAGTGCATTTACCCAAGGGAAAATATGCCCCAAAATAATTTATGATCAGCCCAGTTCTAGCAAAATGCAAGGAACATGTTGTCCTCTATGGAGCAGTGACGCAGTTTCACTGATATAAAATTAGATGAGGCTAAGACTGGGTGCTCTGAACGGCTGCATGATGGACACATGGCTTTGAGTCCTGCACTGGGTTTGTGTTTTCTTTGTGTGCATTTAGCACAGCTGTGGGGTGAGGACCCAAGCCCATCATATACACACGGGTTAGTAATGCCAGCTTCTGCAGATTTTTTTTCAAAAGAGGTGGGAGGTTCATGACTTGAATACACACAGAATGAGCCCCATAGGTCATTTGATTGTATTGGGTAATGGTCTGATTTTTGTGGTGAGGGGGAGAGAAGAGAGAGAGAAAAAAAAAAAAAAGAAAGAAAAGAAGGAGAGAGATGAAAACAATCATCCTCTGATACCTTCAGACTTCAGCAGAGAAGATGGGGCTACCTGTCACTTGTCTTTCAACTCTTTAAAACTGACCTCTCTAATTCTTATATACAGTGAGGACTTAGACAAGAAATTAAACTATAAAGATACAATTACTGGGGAACAGTGTGTGTGTATACATATATATATATAATTATATATACTCATATATACACTACCTATATAATACTTTTATATACAACTATAAAATAAAAGGCAGACTTCACTAATAAAAGAGAAGTGTTAAATACTTCCAGGGTTCTTCCACTACTGAAGCTACTGCAAATCAGTATACTGCTACAGAAAAGCAGGATAATTAAAGTGTTAATTATTGGGTTAATCTACCCTGAACTGCCTGCTGGAGTGCAGTGTTGAGGCTTGACCATGGATGACCATTTGGAAAACACAACTGGATTGTGAGAGCTGACCTAGCTACCTCAGTCTTAGGTTTTCAGTTGTAATGAGTTTTTTTTATTCAATTTAAAACATACAAGAAACCCTCAAGTATGCTTAATTACACTTTCTTATAACACAAGAACCAGCTCTTTTCAGTTCTTTTAATTAAGAGATACTTAAGGAAGCAGAAGCCAATAATTTTATGTGTGTGCTGGGCCTGGTCTCAGAAACTGGAGCTATCAGCTGCCCACTGTGAAGAACTCCCTACTTTCTACTGCTTTCCAAACTTTCATTGTGTGGGTTGAAAGATAGGCAGGAGCTTGCCTTAGGCTACAATTATCATTTTTACTGTAGCATCCCCAATAGCATTTGTACACATCATAATGTGATCTTTAGCAGTGCAGTTACTTTTCTTCTCTTCAACGCACATTTTTGGATGGGACTTTTGGGGCAGAGGAGTGGGAAGTGAAAGGTGACAGCACTTCGCTATCTTTCACCTGTCTTGGTGCTGGTGTTGGTGTTCCCAGCCTTGCCCTGTTGTTTTCTCCATGGAACTAGGAAGAAGTGATTGCTCTGCATGGGGTGGCCAGGGGTGCTGCCCACAACCAAGCTCAGGAATGCAGATTCTTCACAATGGTCATAAAGTCTTTGAGTCAAACCCTCTTGTTTCTGAGCTAACCAACATCAGCTTCAGGGGGGACCCAAAGAATGAGGAGCCACTGCCAGAGGGGAGCAGGGGGAGACAGTATCTGGTGTAAAGGAATATATAATTATGGATTGCTTGTACTTGCTTCCAAAAAAAGTATATTAACACATGGTCAATGCTGACCAGCAGAATACATTATCAGCCTTCAAAGCTGTGCATTGAAAGCTGTGCATTGACTGTTAATGATGTTGTAAAATAATGTGTAAAAAATCACCATATATTGTATTTTTAATAAAATACAATAGGAAATAAAATACAGAAGCAGAATTAAACATACTTCTTTTCAAAATCTGAAAAATGTTTTCAGATGCATTTTTTCCCCTTCCCTCTTCTTTCCACCTACTGATTTTCCACCAGCAAAATGACAGTTTGGGGCAAAATGTTGGGTTCACAGAAACCAGCTTTGCATTCACAAACTTCAACCCACAAAAACACCTCTGAGACTTTGTATTTATGCCCTGTAGAAAAACAGGATTATTTTTTGTTTGTTTGTTTTTTGCCTTTTAGAGTAACAATGATAAATGTTAAAATGAAGCTGCTTTTCAGAAGATGTGCCTTCAATACAACTGTTTTGGGCTATTACAGGAGTGAAATACTGCAGCCTGGCTGAAGGAGGGCTGGTCTTCATGATGCAAGAGCCCTTCCTGATTTTATCAGAAAAAAATGATCTAATTGTGGTGAAATCACTGCCAGTCTGAAGTTCATTTGGATAGATTAATTGATCTGGATTCTGACCCTAAAGATGGAAAAGTCATCTGAAACTTTGTTATTGTTTTTGAATGAAAAGTATGCTGATGCAGTCCATGAAAAAACAAAAGAGAAAGTGACTGAAGAAAAGTAAGACCAGCTACACTGTTCTGTTTATAGAGATGTGAATAGTTGGGGGGGGGGGGGGGAGGACTAACACAGCTTCACCTCCTACCTCCCTGTGCTACAGGGTCTTTCCTCCCAGCATCTCAGCACATGGTCACTCCAGCTCTGAAAAGTGAATGTAAATAAGCTAAGTGGTAAATAACTGAGGAAGTGGGCTTTAAAAACAAAACTTAAAGCTGTGGGTCTAAAAGTCTATGAGTAGCTTTTCATTAATATATATATATATATATATATATATATATATTTTAGTGTGGCATCTTATTTGTCATTGCTGATGCAGGCTCCTGCAAGTGGCATTTTGGGGATCCAGCTGGGATCAACCCCATCCCTAGAGAGATCAGGTGTCATTTTATGGTTCTGCCAAGAAAAACATTTTCAATAACAGCCTGGCCTCTGTGGGAACTTTGCCAGCAGGGGCTGTCATGAAGATATTTAGATGTTGTGCATTTCATCCCCATCATGTTCATGATCTCCTTGCTGATTTGCCTTGGGCTGGTTTCTCTCTTGAAAAGGCACCTGTTTTCCTTCATTTCAGTGCTTTCCAATTTGTTTCTGCTTGAAAGTACTAGTCTATAGTTTAGAGCAAAGTGAATAGCTAATATACATTTAGTTTTGCTGGAAGAACAAGTATTTTTTTGTTTGATTTTTACTTGACCTAAGATAAACCATTTTACTTTGGAAATATATATATTCCAAAGTGTAGTGCCTTTATTTATTTCATTCTTTATTAAAAAAAAAAATAAAATCTGAAGGTTTAAAAAAGTGACTTTTGTTTTTTTCTGTTGTTGTTGTTTGTTTTTTTTGGTAGTCTTTCTCTCTCATTCTCTTTCTCTCTTTTCAGAACTATTCAATAATTCAACACGAACTTGCACATACTATAATTAATTAAAGTCTTAATTTCTGATGAACAGAGGATCTGTCATCATGACATCCTTCCATATGAACATGAACATTACATCCTTCCATATGAAGATTTCATGTTAGAGAGCCTGACTTGATTGATTGTTCTTTTTGATTGTCATGGTGTCTGATAACTTTGGCTAGGATTCTTTCTGCTTGCCTGAAGAGAAATAAAAAGTATTGGGCTTTTGGGCCTAGAGTTACTTTACATGTCAGACCTTCTGGTGTGACAGTATGCCATACTCCAGAACACATGCCTATTCTTTACCAATTTTCTTAGTAGAAATGGTAAGAAAAGGCTAGAAAAGGCTAATGGTAAAAAACTTTTAACCCGGGGGGGTTGCAACTTTAGACACTACTCCTAATTGCTTTATTTTCATTGTGCTTATATTCTGTAAATTTTCTGGATATTCAGATTTTCTACAGGACTTTGAATAGATATATCTTCCAAAAAGATCGAGTAAGTACAGGATTTGCATGTTTCCCTGTCGGTTTTGTTGTTGTTGTTGTTTTCATTTTCTTTTTTCTTTCCCAAACCACAGCTGCACATTAACTTGGGGACTGTTCTATTTTTTTAGCAGACAGTAGCACAGCTGTGCCCTGGGGAGTATTTAGCAAATACAGATTACCGGACAACTCTAAATTAGTTCCTTGTATATCATGATCCCTGCCTCGGGTTGAAATGCCCCATTATTAAGTGGGACTATATTCTATTCAGATTTAATGTTTACCTTTAGAAGCAATGAATAACAAAGATAATGTGGATTCAACAACTTATTGGTAAAATCCTATTATGTAAAGTGGCCATCCTTCACATTTTTCTGAGGTCAGACCATGCAGTTATTTAGTGACACTCAAAGCCAGTCTAGCCTTCTGTACTCAGAAGTATGGCTGTCATCACCAAAACATTGGTCATTACTTGATGGACATCTATCCAGCTTTGTGTTAGAAAATAGGGAGAGCCCAAACATACATTTCAGACATGTCATGTAAGAGCTTGCATTATTGTTTTTTGGTGGATACTCCATTCCTTGTGACAGGAAAGAGTGCTGGGAAAAAAAAAAAAAAAAAAAAAAAAAAAAAAAAAAAAAAAAAAGCATAGTAGAAAGGGATCTGTAGGCTGAATCTCAGTTCATTCTTCTAGAATTAATTTGGACACTTGTGATGTGAAATCATTGCAATTCATCAGGCTATTTCTTATCTATTATATTATCTACATCATATTTGATGCGAACTTCTGTGTCAGATTCAGTATCTGAGCATCCTAAGTGTACTGCCTAGAAAACAGTTTATATTTGAGATAATACATTTCAGGTGATGAAATCCAAGAGTAATTGCAATACTATTTTTTCTGTTTCTAGGAATTTGACCTAACCTATTTGATATGTAACACGGAGTTTAATTCTACATAGATTGGAAACATGATCAAATCATCTTGCAAGCTCAATATCAGTTATTAGAATTTGTTAGTTAACCACAAACATGGTAAAATATTTCTTTGCTACTGTACCTGAGCTGCAATAGTCCAATGGTTAGCCAATTTTTAATTTAATTATTATTATTTTTTTATTTAAAACTTTGAGTTTTAGACGTTGTGTTTGGAAATGTTGTAAAAAAATATCCCTTAAACGTACTGGCTCATCTGATGGAGTTGCCATAAGAATCTATTTGCACCTTGGTGCTAATGCAGCAAGACCACAGAGAAGCCCCAGTTATGGGTGCATGGGGAGAAGGACAGGGATGCTCCTTGGTGAGGCTTCTGTGGAGAATTTACTCAGCTCGGCAGCTGAGCTCCACCACAACCACTCTCTCACTCCCCCTGAAAACACCTTCCCCCATCCACCTTATTCTACATCCTCCTCCCTGAGTGGCACAGGGGAACAGGGAATGGGGGCTGCGGTCAATACTTCACCTCCACTGCTCCTTCTTGGTCACTCTCTACCCCTGCTCCCTGCGGGGTCCCTCCCATGGGATGCCGTCCTTCCCGAACTGAGCCTGCGGGGGCTGCCTACAGGCAGCAGCTCTTCAAGAACTGCTCCCACATGGCTTCGTACCACGGGGTCCATCCCCCAGGAGCAAACTGCTCCAGCACGGGTCCCCCATGGACAGCAGTTTCCCCAGACCTCCTGCTCCTGCGTGGGCTCCTCTCCACGGGCTGCAGCTCTAGCCCAGGGTCTGCCCCTGCAGGGGCTCTCCATGGGCTGCAGCCTCCTCCAGGCCACAGCCACCTGCTCCACTGGGGGCTCCTCCACCCATGGGGGGGCTGCAGCGTGGAGATCTGCTCCGCGTGGGACCCATGGGCTGCAGGGAGACAGCCTGCTCCACCAGGGGCCTCTCCACAGGCTGCAGGGGAACTGCTGCTGCGTGTCTGGAGCACCTCCTGCCCTCCCACTGCATTGGTCTTGGTGTCTGTAGGGCTGGTTCTCACTCCTCACTCTCCCAGCTGCTGCTGCACAGGAGTTTTCCCTTTCCTGAATTTGTTCTCACAGAGCTGTAAACAGCATCACTTATTGGCATGGTTCTGGGCAGCAGCAGGTCCCTTTGAAGCCATCTGGAGCTGGCCCTCATCTAACATGGGGCAGCTTATGGATTCCTCTCACAGAGGACACCCCTGCAGCCCCCTGTTACCACAACTTTACCACACAAACCCAATACAACTTGGGTCATGGCTCGAGGGAGAGAGAACAACAGCTGAGGATGACTATCATGCAACAATTTCTAGCAGCTGGATTGGGGGTTCATGTTGCCTTTAATAGCCACCTGTACTGAATCAACTCAGACTAATACTAGTACAGGCTCTTTGAGTAGTCCTGTAGAGAACAAATCCTCTGTGGGACAGAACCTCTTTGTGTTCATGACACATCACCTAAATTCACAGTTTGCTCTCGTATAGCTTACAGCAATTTCAAGCTAGACTGAATCTGGAACTGTATTTTTCTTAATCTGATATTTGTTGGGCTCTGTTTATCAGTATTTTAAACACAAGATCCTTTAATAAATGTATTGAAGCTGTTTGCATAATAGAAATTTAATTGGAGCTAATTAAACCTGACTAACATGAAAGATTAAGAATATAAAAAGTATATTCTCTCAGCAGTGCCTCATTCTTCAACTTTCATTGTATTTATTTGTATTTATTTATGATATATAAATGGTGCAGAACTGCCTATAAAGATAAAAGTGAGGTTTTGTTAAGGGTTTCTAAATACCATATATAGTCCAAAAAAGCTCAGATGAAAATGCATCCGTGGATTTTCTATTTCTATGTCAAAGTGAGCATTCAAATATGTTCAGAAATAACTGGTTTTTTTGAAATTAATGTATTCATAAATGCATCACTGGATTATTCATTTCTGAATGCTACATCTGTTTTGTACAGTAAACATTCAGCTAATATATTTTCACTTGCTAAAAACCCTCTAAAATTGTATACCCACTAGCAATTGTTTAGATAGATATGACAGTATCTGTAGCTGAAAATATTCAATAAAATTCCCTTATTTTAATCCTATACAGATATAATATGGTATGAAAATATTTGATTGAAAAATGTGTATGGTGTGGAGGCAAGCTAGACTTGTGTCATGCTTCCTTCAATGTCTGGACCACTCTGAGCTCTCTCAGTTGGCTGTGTGCAGGGAAAACACAGCATGACCCAAGGAGAAAAAGTCATGAAGGCATGAGGAGCTTTGGGGGCATCAATAATATAAGCAATCTGCAGAAAAGATTAATGCAAACATAGAATAATTTTGCCTGGAAGAGACCTCTGGAACCACTTTACGCAAAGCAGTACAAACTTCAAAGCTACACCAAGTTGCTCAGGGCTTTTTTCAACAATTCTATATATTTAAGGGTAGAGATTGCACAGCATTTCCAGACATTGGTTCCAATGTGTGGCCACCTTTCTTGTGAAAGCTATCTACTGTCTAACTGGATTTTCTCTTGCTGTGAATCCTTTCCTAAATTTATCCATCTTGATGGCAATTGTCTAGTTTACTTTTGCAGTGAATTGAAAGAAAGAACTGCCCCCTGAAGCCCTTAGGGATGGTATTTAACACCCTCAGGAGATGTCTCCTCTTCCTCCTTGACACAGAAGGAGACCATATAACACAAAGAAATGGTCATAAAGCACTTCGAGGAGGTCAAAGCAGGAGAGGAGCGTTACTTCTGTTCTATTGTAGACACCTCTGCTTCTGCTGTAAGTAAACTCTTATGAAGAGTGGTATTGTAGCACCTTCTCACTGGGTCTAAAGGACTCTATCTAGTACTCGAGCAAAATGCAGTGATTTTTGCTATTTGGATTGTTTCAGTATATTGCCTTTTTTTTTTGCCATCTTAGTTAGCTCCCACTGCTCGACTCATGAGCCCTCATGTAAGATGGTGGCTTTTTTTTTTTTTTTTTTTTTTTCCTTGGCTGTCTGGCTCTGAAACCTTATTTTTTACAGAATAAGCAGTTGATGTGTTTCCTCCACAGAATAAGTCTGTAATTTGGAAGTCTCTACCTTTTCTAAGTAGACAACTTTTAATGGGATAATTATTTCATTATACAGTCCATTTATTACTCATTGATACTATAAATGGCTCAGTCTGTGGGTAGGTACCATATATATTAGTATTCTCTTGGAATACTCTCAATGCTATTTTTTGCTATTTCTTAGTTCTTAATTACATATTGTAGTCCATACTGCGTGTTGAAAATGCGATATATATATATATTTGTTTACCATTTGTTGATTCCTTATACTTTACTGCACATTCATTTCTGTTTCATCTCATTGTGAAATTCTCCAGTACTGACATATGAGTGGTACAATTCATGTCACAGGTCTGAAAGGATGAAGCTGAATTTAGTGTTCCTTCTTCTACTAGCAGAATACTTTTTGTTTTAGTCCAAATGGTCTTAACATCATTTTACTTGCTTCATTTTCACACTAAGAATTTTATCTACAGAGCTTTTTATTTAGAGGAAAAAAGGTTGCTCATTAAGTAGTAAACTTCTGGAGGAAAAGCTGAACAAAGTAATCAGAAAGGTAGAGAAGAACGAGACAGTGGAACAGCTGTTGAGGAAGAACTGGCACAGGAGAACAGTTTCATCCAAGAGCTGAAAACTCTTGCAGGAGCATGGCTGCCATCATAGAGAAGCAGTGGTGCCTTTGTTTTCAGGGGAGCATCCCTGCTGTGGCAGATCCAGGGAGAAAGGACCCATGCTTTAGCCACAGGATATAGGCATCACTGGTTTTCTTTTAATAGTAGGAAAAGTAGTCTCATACTGCTAAACATGGTTTGACATTTCAGAAGTTTAGGAGCCATCATCAGCATAATAACAATAGAGTCCTTACTGAAATATCTCATAGCAAGAAAGCTAAGATCTGTGTTGGGCTGAATTATGAACTTCAGGCTGGATTGTGTTCAAGGGCAGCAATCCAAGTTCTACACTTTCTTCTCATTTACATATTTTGTAGATTTGAGAAGGCAGTTTGTTAACTTGTTTCAGAAACAAGCATCATACAAGACCATATAGAAAATGTTGATTTTTTTTTTTATTTATTATTGTGTGTGATCTGAACCTACTTATGCAATGACAGCTTAGATGAAAACTTCAACACTGAAAATTTTAAGGAAAAGATGTTTGTCTTTGACTTTAATTTCTGGGTAAATGTGCTGACATTGAATTCTTTGCTTGAGAAGCTATTTGGGTTTGTTTTGTTTCATAGTTATTTTTTGTTTGTTTTGTTGTTGTTGCTTTTTTTTTTTAATTTTTTTTACTATCCTCTTAGGTACCAGGAAGCTTAATTAAAGAGAAACAAAGAAAATGGTAATAAAGCAAATCTGGAGTTGATAGTCCAGATGCATTTATGTTGGAAAGGGGAGAATAAATTACATCTCTTTTCCAGTGCAGGGCTCAGAGGAAGGATCCATGGTGTTTCCAACAAACAGTTCTCATTACAGCTTCCACTTTTGGAGGCAGCATCTGGTTCTGGATTGCACTCTGTTCAGCCTGCCAAATTAATACAATGAACACTTCCATTGCTGACAGCTGACATGGTCCTGGCACAAGTAGCGCAGGTGAGTGGAGGGACTGTGGCTGAAGTCCTATGCATGCTTCATCTCCTCCAGACGTGTATCCTTGTTGCAAAAGTGACAGTCGGGAGAGGACGTGTCCTTCTTCCTCTGTCCTTCCTGCTCAGCCTCTTCAGTGCCAGGCTTCCCCTCAGCCTGGATGTATCTGTCCTCAACAATATACCCAGAATCCTTACGTTTACTCCAACACCTTTCCCCAGTCCTTCAATGTTACTATTGTCACAGCCATTTCAGTCTTCCCTGAGCCTTCCCAGATGAACCCCTCGTCCTTTTTATCAAAGTCCCACAACTCCATTTTTTATTGCTCCATGCAACAAAAATGCTTTTTGACTTACTTATGGCAGTATTTAAACTAATATTTAGCAATTACAGTGAGTGCAAAACAACTGGAAGAAATAAAGGCTGTTGGTAATTCTAAATTGTCTTTGCAAAAAGGCAGGTTATTAACTGCTTGTTCAGACTGGTATGTTGAAATATAAAACCAGTAGGAACTTCTGTAGGAGAAACTTCTCTTTTGTATAAGATGTGGTGATCCGCCGTGGGAAGGTCTAATGCACTGTAGTTATAGATCTACCCTAGGCTTTCATATCATTAGATTTTCCAGAGAAAGCAGTCAAGTTTCATTGGCATTGCAACACAAATCTTTTGAAGGAAAAGTTAGACACTAGAGGTTGTTTTGTGGCCATCCCATATGTACCAGCGTGGAAATAGCCAGGCTCATGGACCCAGGAGGCAACAAAGAAACAAACAAAAAAAAGCCAAATAAAATCAATCCTGCATCAAGAGGTACACGTAAGCCAATCTATTGGGTCTGTGCTCTGTTTGTAGTCGAAGATAAAATGTATTCTGATTAAATTTATAATTTTGATTATTTTTTTTTTAATCATAAGGTTTATGGAGAATATCATCAATAATATCATCTGATAATACTGTCTTTTCCCTTCTGTAACATTCATCTTTGCATGAAGTCTCACCTCATTCCCCAAACAGTTCAGATGTTACAGGAAGGTAATGGAAAAAAAGATAATAGGTTAGATAATGTGTTTCTCTCAGGAAAAGACATTTATAGCCATGCTTGAAAATCATAAGATGTTGCACATAGATGCACATGAGGCATTTAATATTCAAGCTCTTAAGTTAATTATATATGTTTAAGATAAGGCTAATTTAAATAGTATCTTGACTTGAATATTGAAGCAATATCCAAAACTTGTATTAAATTTAAAAATAGACTTTAAAAGACCCAGAGAAATTTCAAAATCCCTTATTTTTCTCAGAGAACAGCTTTAAAAATCCTAAAGCCTACATATCTCCTTCATATTGAAAGTGATCTAAGTGTCTACATTTGAAAGACTTTGGAAAATCTTACTTTAAAGCCACATAATCAGGAACTAATGAGCTATTTCCATCCTACTATGCTGGTAGAGACAACGTTTAAATTCAGCATCCCCATACCAGAATGCCCAGGGGAGGGCAGTTTAAAGCTTTTTGTCTTAATTCCTTCTCCTCAAAACCTTGGAGTAAAACAGGCTTTTTTTTTTTTTTTTTTTTTTTATTACATGACCTGTAGTTCCAGGGATAGGTTGAGATTATCATAATGATTATGTTGGACCATAATGTGTGTTAATCCAGTCTGAAAGTCTGAAGTCCTCTGGTGCTTAATATTTTCTTATCAGGCACTGTGCTTATGGTATATACTGTCAGCAGAGACAGAGCTGTAGTGGTACTCTTTAAATAGAAATGCTTGCTTTGGCACATAGCTGGTGGCTCATGTCTTCTTTCATCAGTCTTTTTGCCACTTTAAAACTTAAGGCATTTATATATATATAAAACAATATTTTGTGCTTGATATTTTAATCACTTTGCTGGTCGTTATGTTATTCTTGAGAAGAAACAAAACAAATAACAACTCCTAGAAGGTGATCAGAGCAGGACTGGAATAGTTCAGCATTTCCTAGGAATCTTGGAAAAATCCCTCTAAGTCCAACATTAACAACATTTTGAGACAAGGTTTGTAGACTGCTGTAGCTATGGCTCTACAGCAGCCTACCAACAGATTTAACAGTATGAAGAGATGAGAAAAAAAAGATGTCATTGTAGTTAATAAAATTCTTCATGCAAATAATCATTATAATGCTAACTTCAGTGAGGATTCTGACTTTCAGTACGAAAGTGTGTGCAATGTCTGTTGTCAAATTCTTACATGGACATGGTATGGCTGATGTTTAAGGTTTGTGATGACCAAGTCTTAATAATTTATCTATCAAAATCAAAATATTTTTGTTATTTGGCCCACAAGGTAATCCTGATTATAAAAAAATATTGTGGGCCATATGTATATGGTATCTAAGTGAGTGTGAACTGTGAATAAACAATGTGTTTTTATATGTATGTATAAATCCAAGGTAGCTATCAATATTTTTTTCTATAAAATATTTACATTATATAAAGTTATGCATTTATGTTTTTATTCCATTTCCAATTCCATGATCTTTTTTATGCTGCATTCTATAAAATATTTTCAATATTGCTTGTTCAATTGCAAAAGCAATGTACAACAAAGTACAAAATAATAAAGGATCTGTACTTGGCCTAACTTTTTAAGATCTTATGCCTTTTGCCATGTGTAATTCTTTATTTAATATCTGTCTTCAAATCACACATTTTAGAGCTGAATGTCTCAGAAAATGAGTAATCATTTAAAGAGGAAATTTACTGGAAATATTTAATAGCTATTTGTGCTCTGTGCAAAAGCATCCCACTGACAGTACTGTCTGTGCATTTCTCTGTGATAATATTCATCCTCCTTCCACTCTTCCTACTTGTTTGTTACACCTAAAAACTTTTCCAGAAAAAAAAAAAAAAGAAAAAAATCTGTGTTTTCCAAATCCCATTCTATTGGAGGATTTCTTTCCATTAGAATTTTTCTTAATCGTTTGATGTGAACATCTCTAACAAGCCAGCTTCCTACTGGAAAGCATCAAAAATCTGTAACTTTCATTACATCACCCTCTATTACTATAGCAAATGACCAACATGGCATTATTACTTCTGAAAATAAATGAATTAGAGAATTAATGTTATAGAGAAATAAAATTAATAATAAAGCAATCCTTCCTTTGAGCAGACAACTCTCTTTTAGTATGACATTAATTTTTGCCAAAGTCTACTCAATAGCAGACAATTCCCCAAATTTACCAACATTTTCCTCAGGGCATAAACAAGGACTGAAGCCAAAAACGAGTGAAATGCAAATGGATTCTGTTGATCTGTCTGAAGTCATTATTTTGGAAGTGCAATTTGCCCTGGTTCAGCCATAAATAACATTTATAAGCAGAATTGAAGAGAAAACACAGAAAAGCAGCAGCCATGGTGGCTCTGCTGTGCTTGTTGCAGATATAGGGTCAGAAAGGGAGAGGTGTCTGGCCTCAAATTATGGTTCCACGCAGAAACATCTGAGAAGAGCTGTGCCTTTCATGCCCTCTCAGAGGCCACCTGCCCAAGGCTGCCTGCCTTACCTGCTCCACAGCTCCCTTCTGTGGTGTCATCTGCACAGGATCCATCAGCTCCCAGTCTCTCCTGCTATGAGTCCCTGCTCATTTCCTGCCAGTGTGCCATTCCAGAAAAAGGGGCTCCTTCATGTCCTAAAACTCTTCTCTCCCAATGCCATTCTGTGTTTTTTAAACACTAGTCCAGCCTTTCCTCTCCTGCCTCTTTTGCTGTTCTCAAACAATATAACTACAAGTGGAGTATTAAAGGAAGGAAGGGAAGAAGAGAGAGAGGTCGGGTTGTTCCCTTTGCTTACCTTTGTGTTGGTAAACACATCCTCTGGGTCATGCTGTCAGGTCCAGGACAGGCTGATGAAGGCCATGTACATCTACTTTTCTTTTGATGTTATTCCTAGGAAGGAGAAGTTTCAGAATACATAGAAAGAATACATAGATAAATTTCAAGTCCCAGAAAACAACACAAATGCAAGAAAATTACTTATTCCATGGGTTGCTTCTAAAGTCCTGAAGAAAATCCCAAGGGGTCAAATTCATGTCTATTCGTGACTATTTTGTTCAGAATGGATTTTCTGGTCACATTGATACTGACAGACTGTGCAGAGCTCATTTTGATGGGAAAGCTCTTCTTTTGGTTGTTGTGTACAGTTTCTCTTCCCCTTATGTTTTTCAAGATTTTGTGTTCTTCTTCTTCCTCTGTAATGTCTTTATTTCCAAAGCAAACTCAATTTGATTGTTGGTCTCATTTGATATCATTTCATGGTTTGATAGTAATGCAATTTTTCTTTAAACTTATTTTGGCATCTTAATTATTAGAAATGTAAGCACTTTTATCTGCAATGCAACTTTAGTGTATGGGTTCAAGTATTTCAGGGAAAATTTGCTTCACACTGTGGACATCCGCATGCCATTCCATGGAAAAAATGAAGAAACTAATGGTTGCTGAAGTATCCAGAAGTACTGCAAACACCGGACAAACATTTTAAGATGAACAATTACCTGTTGGCAATTTTCAGATAATGTGGACTATTTAGGACTTGACAGCTCTCAGCTTAGGAGTTTCCAGTTTGTTTTATTCTGAAATAAGTGATGGGAAACCACCCGTTTCTGTTCATTTTTAACAGAAGAGCATAACATAAGGGACCCTAGGGCTTGATTTAAGCAAAAGTTTGATTTAAGCAGGGGCTTTTTTAGCTTGAGAAGCATACATCCCTGTTTCTTTGGTATAAGGGTATTCACCCCTGTTCTCTTACTGACATTATGCTTGAACTAATTAAGTTGTTGCTCAGTCTGAACAACCACTGAGCAAATTAATAAAAAATGCTCTTAAACACGGGACATAAGACTCAGCTTGAGCACAGTGGTTATAAATGCTACATATGGTTTAAAGTCACCTTATCTTTTTAAGAATAATTTCCCTACAGTATTCTTTGCAGTTATGTTGTAAATTTATATCATTTTTCTGATTTTAATTTTAAT